CAGGCTGCCAGTCTGACAAGTGCAGGCTGGTCTGTCCAGAGTCTCCATGCAACTGCCACCTGTCCTTCAGTAACCAAAGCACCTGCACATCTGTGCTAGCTGCCACCTATCCTTCAGTAACCAAAGCACCTGCACATCTGGGCTAGCTGCCACCTGTCCTTCAGTAACCAAAGCACCTGCACATCTGGGGTAGCTGCCACCTGTCCTTCAGTAACCAAAACATCTGCACATCTGGGGTAGCTGCCACCTCTCCTTCAGTAACCAAAGCACCTGCACATCTGGGGTAGCTGCCACCTCTCCCTCAGTAACCAAAACATCTGCACATCTGATGTGCAGGTAGCTGCCTGCTGGCTGTGTGCATTCACAGCATTAACATTCCCACAGCCAAAACTAATAGCAACAGTAATAGCTGGCTGGCAGGTAATACCTAGATGTTGGTGCAGCCTATCCTGAAAACTACACATGTATATTTACAGGCATTCTGTTTGCCCAGAGGAGGCTGATTATAGTGCCTAGTGTTGTAATCACATGCAGATTATTTAAAGTTGGTTTTTTAATTTACAGAATTAATGTACTGTGAAACCATTAAGTCTGACCTCCAAAGCAAGTCACTTATATTTGGTTTGGGGAGTTTGCTCATCTTCCCCTGTACCTTCTCTTTTCCCACTCTAGGTTGTTGAATAGGTAAGATTTTGGAGGTTAGGTGATTTTTATTGACTCACTGGCTGCTCTGTATTAATGTATTAAAAATGTAATTTTTTTTTAAATTTTTTTTTTTTAATAAAAGAAGTGAGGAAAAGGGAGCATTACAGATTTGCTAGAAAAACAATTTGATGATGCATGTACCAAATACATTACCAGGATTTCCTTGTATTCCCTATTTTAGAAAATAATTTTAATACCTCTCAATTAAATTTCATATTTAAGCAGCAGGGTGTTTTGGCAGAAGCCAACTGCCACGCACTAATGAACTCTTATAATTTGCTAAATTATTTTAAATGAATGACAGTACATTTAGCTTTTTAATGACTGTTCATTTAACTTCTGAACAACTTTGATCAAGTCCACTTTTAGTTAGACTGCCTGCTGTGCTAAACTCTTAATTCCCAAACCCAACTCAGTTATTCAGAAAAATTGTTAATCAGAAATATTACATTATTTTCTGTTTCAGAAGCACAAAGTCTACTGGAGACTACTTGGCCAATTCATTACTTTTCTTTTACCTGCCCTCAGTGCTAAGTCTGGATGAGGCTTAATGTTTGACAGTACTTTGTGTAAAGACAACTGGAGAGCTTTCTTTTTTTTAATTGGGAGATCTCTATTTTGCAAGGTTTTGGCTTTCTAAAGAACACCTATGTTTTTTGCCAATTATATAAGCTGCCACAATTACAAAACTTGAGCTAAAACTTGGTTCATTTTTTCAGTTCCTGGTTGGATTCTGTACATGCCTTGGGTAAAGTCAAAACATGAGACAAATTATTCCTGCTTCCTTTTGTACTGTGAAGTCACACCATTTGTTGAGCCTGATAGAAAGAGCTAAGCTGAAGTATTCCTTTTCTCTTGTGGATCAGAGTACAACTGAGAAAATGAAGACTCCCACAGAGCTTTTCTTTTTCAAGGGAATATGCATTTCTATTCTCTCCTGCTACCCAGTCTCCCCTAGGAATTTGATATTTAATGCCCAAGATGTGCAATGGATATTTTTCTTCTTTGCTACACATTTTATATGTTCACCTTTTACTTGTGCACATCTGTATCCAAACTGTATGTATACTTATATATGCTACACAACCTCAGGTTTTGTCTTGGACTCAATTACCATCAATCTCAAGCTAAAAAATACCAAGAAGCAACAGCCCAGTTTATAAGGTTTTTGTGAAACTATGATAAGAACAATTAAGGAAATTATTATTTTAAACTATAACTCTGCTAATCTCTCTTCAGATCTTCTATCTTCAGATATCTCTTTTAATTACTTTTCCCCACTCCTACAGCATATGGTTTTATCAGAAATCTCTGTTGGTCTTGAGCGGAGTTCTCCAAATTATGATAATATCTATTTGCTGTATTATATGATATTTACTTTTTATCAAGTGTCTTTTCTCTAGCAGGCACTTAGATATGCATGACAAGTGTTACAGGGAAAGAATTCCGTTTAGCTGACTTGTTCTCACCAAAAAATATACAAAGGCAAATCAAGACACAAATTCTTCACACAGATCTAGCAAGAATCTGCATTTGTCTTTGCAAAAATCCCTAATGTATATTTGTTTAAGTCTTTAAATTTTCTAAAATGTTTCAAATGCCACTGTGCATTATATGTACTGTATGTGATTATCTATATCAGGAGAAGATATATACTTATTTAACAAAGATTTTAATACTGTTTGAAGATAGGAATTATTAGCATCTTAGTAAGACAGACTTTCATTTTTTCTTGATTTCATAGGGAAATACGTTTACAACTGAACATGGTGACATGACAATCATTCAGTAGAGGAGAGGCTATTTAACCTAATTGTGGTTTTTTGTTTGCCAGTGGCCTGCTCTCCCAGTAGCTTCAGCTCTGAGCTTCCCACTGTGTGTGTATGCCCTGTGGTTAAAACCTCACCTTACAAAAGCATGATGAGCATGTGGAAATCACATTAGAAAGCCACACAGAATCAACAGTTGGGGTTCAAAGAGCCTTCCTGTCTCTTCCAGTAAAATTTCTGCTTTTGTAGTACATCCCAACTGTTCACTGAAGTTACAGGATAAACCTGAAACTTTTGCAATAAAAGTCAGCTTTACAAAATCTTCCAAAAAAGTGTCACCAGTTTCTTGCATTTATTTGCATTTACATCCTCTAAAATACTTAAATGTAGTGCCCTTAAAGCAAAAAAAAGCCCTGAGTAGTCAAAAAGACAGCCATGCAGTGATAAACATGGCCTAAGCAGAAGTGATTTCATTTTTATGAGCTGGAAAATCTGAAAGGTAGGTAAGGCCTGCCAGCTCCCACATGGTGAAGGCACCTCTATGCAATATTATAATTGCCCTGGTGAAAGACAGAAGTTGTATAAACCCCCTGGGAGTGTTCAGATCTGGACCAAGGCTTGTGTTAGCTCCTGACCAGAACGGCTGTGAATAAACATGCTGAGCTTTCCCCTCTTGCCGTGCCTCCAGGCAGCTCCTGGTGGCTCAGAGCACGTGCCCTGTGTCTGCAGATGGCCTTTCTGCCTGCTCTGGAGCTGCTCCCCCAGGTGTGCCAACCTCTCCTTGGGAAGCCCAGAGCCTCCTCAGGGGTGGGGAAGAGCATATGGTGAGCCATACGGTCCCTGTGAGGCTCCTTCTGTCCTGCTTGTGTCAGCTGCTGGGTGTGAGACTGAAGGCCAAGTGTCAGAGACATCCCTGTGTCACAGCAACACCATCCTGTCAAGTGTTGCTCTGCCTAGGAGAGCAAATGTGGAAAACAAACCAAAACCCAAGCTCCCTCCTGTCGTCTGCCTTAGGAAAGAAAAGCCATTTAAAATTTTTATGATCCATGAAGATGAAATATCAGAGGTCTTTAGTTTTAAAGCTTCACAACGGAGTTTTCGTGAGGGAAAAGTGAGGGATTTGGTTTCCCTGAAGTCTGTGGAATAAGAGACCCATGACTCTAGGAAAGCCCAGCCCCAATACCTCCCACTGAGTTTGTGCCAAGATAGCAGTCTAATTTAGAAAACCAAAAAGCACAGCTACGTGCTCTTGAAAGAGGAGGGACTCAGAAAAGTTGCCAACAAGATACAGCACACAGCATGCACAGGACACCTCTTACTCCTGTCATTCCCACTTCAGCATTCATAGATTTATTTTGGATTTTTGTTGCATTTAAATTAATCCTGAAGAACTTTTCTCAGTGACATTGTTCCCAGTGGGTCACCTTGTGTTTCCCCCAGCTGGCTCCACAGGGTTGCCCCCTGTGCCACTGGGTGGTTCTCTGCTATCTCCCATACATGACAGGCAAAATTAGTACCCAGAGGGAAAGGAAATTTTCTTGGCATGTATTTATTTAACTCACTGTGTAGGCCAGACCATCATTTGACCCCTATATACAATGATTGAATTGAATTGGTTTGTTTGTTTTAAATAAACTGCTGGAAGTCACAAGGAACCATGTGTATCAATTCAGTATGTTAAATCTTAGCCATTATACAGATAAAAATTCTGGATGAGTTAACTTCAATAGAGGTTAAAATAATGAATGGATTTTTTAATGATCTGAAGCTGTAGTCCACCTCTTCTGCTCTACAGAGATGTCATTCCTTTTAAAAAACTCCAGATTTTCCCTCTGAATATGTCCCTAAAGAAAAGTTGTTCTGAAAGTGCTGAGTTAATTCAAGATTGCCAGCATTTCAGCTTGACAGTTTCAGTGGGACATATAAATCTCTAAACAGCAAAGGAATAAATGGAAACCTTGGGTTAGTTTAGTTCTCAGATTGGCATCATTTCCTTTTTCTAAAATTCTGTTGATGAAATTTTAAAACACTTCAAAAATACCTACTGATTGGTTGTGCTACTGTTCCTCAGTTTAAAGAGAACACATGGAGAGCCCGTTTGCTGCCTCTGACAATACACTACAGTTTTGGAAAGAATCCCATGCAGAAAAACTGCTACTCATTAAATTTATGTTCTCTAAACTCTGAACATTATTTGCAAGTTTGTTTTATTGTTAGCCTATTTCTAAGCAGTTTGGCTACAGTGCTATATTGCCTAAGATACAAGTGAAAATTCTAAGCATGTGCCTATTTTTATTTTTTGCTTTATATTTTATGTGCTAATACAAAGCTTTAAACTTTAATTTAGTTCTTCCAGTCTTTGCAGTACAACTTTGATTTTTAAAAAATCTACAAATATAATAAAACAATCTGTCATAAACAAAGGAGGCCTTAGTTCTTATTTTTTTTCTGTCCCATGGAAGATGAAAGGTAAAACTTCATGTATGATAAACCATCTCTGTTTTTTTTTTTTTTTTCTTTACATAGATGAAGATGTCAAACCATTTACTCCTGAGAAAACCAAGGAAATTGTGATGTCTCTACAGCAACCTGCAGTCTTCTGTAACATGGTTGGCAACTGGCCAGCCCTGCACTGGAATGTGGAATACCTTTCTGCTGTGTTGGAGGGAAAGAAAATCCAGTTTAGGCTGGGCCTGAAGACAGTGGATTTAGGTGAGAATGAGGTGGACAGGCATTAATGTCACAAGTCTCTTTTCCAGGTCCTGCAATTATCTGCCTTTTCATGATAACTGTTCTTTCTCTAATGTATTGCTTTTCATTGCAGCCTCTGTTTTTAGGAATGGGATCTGGTCAGCAGTAGAACTCTCCCTTCTCTTTCTCAGGTGTTTATTCCCAGAAGCAGGTGTCGTGGGTTACACCAGCATTTAAGAACCAAGTCTCTCAGTATTCCTTCCTTGCTTTGTAGTGTGTGTGTTTGGTCCTGGTCTTACACATGATTAGATTGTTCACATGAGCTGAGCTTCCATATCCATAAACCTGACTGTGTTAAGGAATTAGCTAAATAATTAGCCACACTTGGGGTATTTATCTGTATGGTGGTAATTCTCACCTTCCTCCAGAGGTTTTTAAGACTTAGGTGATTTTCAGTACTTTAAGGTCCTGTGATGGAAGGCATGATGGAAATATAAAGCATTAAGAAAATCATTTGACACCAGTGCAGTAATTTCACTGCTAACCCTCCAGGTTCACTCATACATCTTGGAACATGCAATGGAAGACAGACAATTTTCCAACTGGATTTTAAATACTGCAACTTCATCTCTGTCTGTAGGCACACAGTAGGGTGTCCTTGGACAGAGTTTCATACCATGGGGGGAAGACAGAAGAAACATGTTCCATCTGCTGTCTACTTGAAAGGTTCTGCACTGCTTTATCCCTGCCCTTTACAGCCTTTGCCCTCCCAACTACATACCAAAATACATTTTGCCATATACTTTCTCCCTTCTGCCTATAAAGTACCTTGACTACCTTTAGGATCTTTTTTAACCCTTAAGCCAGAAAAATCGACTTTAAAAATATTTAATATGTCATAGTCTTTTAGACCCTACCCAACTGTTCTTTCTGTAGTCTTCTAACGTTTTTCAGTTGGACTTCCTCTTTCTTGGAATGCAGAGTCTGCACAAAGACTCCAGATGAGGGTTTGCCAGTTCCAGGGAAAGTGGTAGGATTACATCATACTATCTTACTTAACACTGTGAAATTTGCTTTCTTCACAGCATCATGACCATGTTATTTCATGTTCCATTTTTGCAAGAGAAGTGATGAAACAGAAGTGTTAGAGGGAAAATGGTTGGCGTGTTAGGATTTCAAAGCATTTTACCAGCATGGATTAATGATTTCTGTGCCATTCCTGGGGGGGACAGATATTATTTACTCACTTTCTACAGATGGGAAAACTGGTGTAGAATTAAAACCTTGGTACACATCTTCATAGCAATATCTCTGTAGTTCAGTGAGGTACCACCTAATTCTTGCACTAAGTGGGAAATGCATCCCATTGCCAATAGAGAAGGTGTAGCATATATATTTATATATATTTTATATATATAAATGATATTTTCCTTGTTGCCTATATACCTTGTTACCTTATACCTTGTTAACATATCTGAGTTGTAACACACAAGGCCTACCAGGTAAAAGAGTAGTTTTGATCCTACTCTCCATTAATTAGTAGGCACTTTTTGAGAACTTGATGGATGTTCCAACTGGCAGAGTTTCTGATGGGACTGATGGAGTGTTATGTAGCTAAGTCACAGATTGATGCTACCAACTGAGTAGATAAGAGTCATCACTTAACAATAACTTGTAGTCACTAGAGATACAGAGTGGATTTAAATTGGGATTTATATCTTGAAGCATCTAACTGCATTTTGCTTTTTCTTAAAGGCATTTATCCCTGTGCAGCAATCAGTTTGCCTCCAGGAGCCTCCATTATGTGGTAATGTTGGTTGGAATTGTCTTTGAGGAGATTGGTACAGCCTTCAGGGGTTATATTGTAACTGAATGAGACCTGTGATGCCATAAAAAATTTTCAATATAAGAATATATTAGTGAAGCCATTATCCAAGCCATCTCAGAGTCTGAAATAATGTAATACATTCCATGTGCCACTGTCATTTGGAAGGTGGTTGATATCACTATTGCATGCTTAAAACTACTTTTAATGAGGGCCTCTCTTTCTTATTGTTCCTGCTAACTTTCCTGGGTGAAATGGAGCCAGTCATCTGCTCAGAGAGAGAACAGAATTTGTATTTTAGAATACAACTAAAATTGCATTGATCTCTCTCCCTCAATATTCCTTCCATATCCACAAGAGGTTTATTGCCTTAAGACTAGGTGGGACCTCTCCTACTATGGAATTGGAAATGTAAAAGAAAAAATCCACTCTCCTGCTTAAAGGCACATCTGGTGACACTCTGAAATGGCAGCTTCAGAATTTCTGAGGTTATTTAAGTGAGATTCATCTGGAAAACTCAAAATTCATGGAGATTTACTACAGCAATTCCTCATCTTTCTTTAGTGCCACATCTGCATCTGGATGGGTTTTCCAAGCTGAAGATTCCTTAATGTACAAAAGTGAGAATTGCAAATGGGGCAACTTGGTGGGAGTTGCAAGGATTTTATATTTGCTTTTTTTACTAGTTTGTAACCTCTGAAGCATACCAATGTGGATGGCACATTTGAAATATGGAAAAATGTGACAGCTAGCAGTATTTTTTGTATATATTATTTGTACCTAAGTGTGTTTTTTATAGTATTCTGTCTGATTACACAAGTTAAACAGTTTGTGTCCATAAGAAAGGAAAAAAACTACAATCAGAGGATTAAGCATTGACAAAAGATGCCTTCAAAGACAGTACCAGAGTTCATTACAAGAACAGTGAAGATGCTATTAATCAGGAAATCCCTACCCATCTGGTTCCAGCCACACTAAAAGATTTATTTTTCTGATGTGGGATAAGGGATAGACCAAAGCTTCAGAAGCTTTGCTTCTGACAGAGAAAATGTGGCATTACTGCCATTGTGTCTGATGGCTACCTGGAGCACACCAGCACAAAGTAAGAAGAAAACTTACACAGAACTGACTTCTGTATGCAGCCATTTCTTGTTTTGACCGTTTTTGGTGGTTGCATAGTAAAATGAATCAACAATGAGTTTACTGTGAAGAAGCCAGAGAGAACAAGAAGCTGCCATGCTAATCAGTTTCTGAGTCACAGGATCTCTGGAGGATGTTTCTCTCACTGACGCTGGATAGAGCTGATGCTGTCAGATGTGCAGTTGGATGGGAAAGGGCTGCAACTTGACCATCTTGCCAAGAGGTTTTATCACTAAGGATGGCAAAAGAATTGAGATCTCTGAGGTTTGTTATAGCAGGAGATTGCAAAGGTGGCTGCAGAATCAGTAGCTGAATAGGAGGCTGAAATACAGTACAAATAGTGTACACTGATTAAATGTTACATAAAGCTGAGATATGAAGTGTTTATTGGACTTGGATGTGCATGGCCAGGTTCTTTTGTTTGTGAATATGCCTGTGCTTTGTTTTAGTATGAAGTGGCTATTCCTTGCTTGGATTATTTAATTCCCCAGCAGCTGTGAATAGGGGTTTGATTTTCTTTAAAAAAGGAGAAGATATTTCACTTGCATTCTCAATTGAGCTTTAGGTGTTTTCTAAGGCTATTACACCTTTTTTGTCTACATTTTCCTTAGTACACATTGCAAACACACTGAGAAGAACAGATGTTGGCAACTGTCAGAACCAAACCTTAACTAAGGAGGAGAGCTGCTTCTCTAAAACCCACTTTTTCCTTCTCTCCTTCCCTCCAATTTCCATTTGTGGTATTACAGGAAAGAGGAGGACTGTTATGCCCTCAAGTGCCATGTCATCAGACAGAACTGGCAGCCTACTTTAGACTTGCATGGCTTAATCTGCAATTTGTCAATTACAAAACACCCTCAGCTTAAATCATTAAGTATTAGCAAACTGGTTAATAATGTTGTTGCTTTCTGTTGCTCATTGCTAACATTTTCACCCTTGTTGCAGCCTACAACCTACAAACCCATCTAAGCAAACTGTCTAGATTGCCCAAATGTGTTTTTTATTACTATTTATTTTTCCATAACCACCCACACCTTGGTACTGAATAAGGTATCAATCAAACCAAGAACCCTGCCCTGAGGAGATTGTATTCTACAAGATAGTCTTGCCTTTCATAGTTGGATTTTTTTAAATGAAACTGAGTGAAATATGCTGTGAGGTAGAAAGAGCATATTTCTTGCCTTTAAAACATTTGCTTCTGAGTTATCTTGGAAAATATGCAGTGTCCTAAGAGTGTCATGAAATGAAAAAGTGTCCTCTTTTTTTCTCATGAAAGTAATACAGATATTGAGACACCCTCAGTAGTGCCTCTTTTGTCTAATCTTTCTGTCAGACACCTTATAGTAAAATGATAAACATTGCATTAAAACCTGGGTATCGGGAGAGGGACTGCAACACAGATATGGGATCCAATACAGAGGGTTTGGGTTGGGATTTTGTGACTTGCAAGTGATTTATATGTCTTGTATGCAGTCGTTAGGTAGGGAGCCCATCCACTGACACTTCTAGGTAATGATTTTATAGTAGTGGGAAGGAAACCACTACCTATGCTACTACAATGGAAAATAATAGTGATAAAGGTTTGTAAAAGCTGTATGAGACTCTGTGAGAACTGCTGCAGTAACGAAATGAAAGTGGTTAAGAACCAAGAGCTGCTGCTGCACAGCAGTGAAAGGATCCCATTTCTGTGCAGCTCTCTGCAAGTTACACAAGATTAAATTGCAGCTCTGTCATTGTCATTCATGCAGGCTGCAGTAATTTTTCCTCAGTAGTAGTTATAGTAAAGTAATATTTTTTTTAACACTGGATAAGTCTCTTTGAAGATGGCACAATTAGTGGTGGCAGGAAATGAAGATCTGTGATGAACTGCAATTAAAATATTCTGTGATGTGGGTACCTTACAGGCCTTCCAAGTGACCTGACCTTGAGCTGAAAGGCTGTATCAGTCAGCCTGACCAAAGCATGCTGGGAGCAAAACCCTGCTGGTAAACACTTTGTGTGCCTGCCAAGGAACACTGCAATATGCTTTTGTCAGCCCCAAATGAAAAATAAGGGCACACAGCATTTTAGATGGATCATTGGCAGCATGTGTGTGGCTCCATACCTCACTTTCTATGCATGACCACACTGGCTTGGTCATTGCTTCAGGGAAAGGGTAAGATGAGCATGTCCATCTGCATAAATCTATGGAGACAAAGCATACAGAAATACTTGATGTGCACATTTGCACCTCACACTTAGGAAGGGAGATGAAGCAAACCTCTCTAGTGAACTTGGGTGTGTTATTGAGTTACTGTGCTGAAGAACAACACTAACTGTTGGTCTGTTTTTGTCTCACAGCAAGTTCAAGGTAAGAGCCATTCAATTAAACCTTAATGAAAAAGCAATAGTCTCACACTTTACTTATGAGTTAGGTCATGAGAACCATTTTATTGACCAGAGTCAGGCTACCTAGTCAGATTTGTATCTGATGTTCCATTTAACCATAGCTGAGAGAACCTGTATTATTTTTACTGGTTCTGTGCTCAATGCTCACGTAATATTTGATTTTTATTTTGTTGCTCTAGTTCCCCAGTTTGAAACCAGTTGTAGCTATGTGGAAGCTACACTTGAGGAGTTTTTGACTTGGAGTTGTGGGCAGCCTTCTTGTCTCTCTGGACCATTCAGTTGTTACGATTACTCCAAATACTGGGCTTATGCTGACTACAAGTACATTGCCAGGATATTTGAAGACAAGCCAGAAATTTTCCAGGTAAAACATTAATATTATCTCTTCCTAGTTGAACCATTGCAAATTATCTAATGTAGCTTCTCTTGCTATCCCTCTCTGCTCCTTTGGCCACTTATTTTAAAATTCTGAAATAAAAGGTATTAGCTCTCAGGCAAACTGAAATCTGCCAAGTGGCAGCCATCAAAGTTCTGAGTCTCCTTATAAATTTAGAAACACCACCCCAAGTGACAAAAAATAATTACCAGCCTGGCATCACTCTCTTCCCATTTAGGCCAGATCCACCTTACACCCAAATGGTGCCCAAATGAACAGCTCCACTCAGGAGGGAGGATTGATGGCATGTATTTCATTGTAGTAACAAGGATGTAACATGGCTTTGCTCCATGTTTTGCCTTGTGGCTCATTTTCCTAAGTAGCTTAGCTCCTTTCCTTAATATAATTAGATTAACTGTTTGTGAGGAGGAGAGATTCTGTGGAGGCAGTAAAATACAGGAAGTAACCTGTCCATGGAAGTATGCAATTACCATACACAGTAGGACACAGCTACCCAAGGTATTTCCTTTTATTTTCTCTGTGCCTATCTCCTATTTCAATGTCTTGCTTCATCTACATTCCTGCTACTTCTCCTAGCAAATTGTAAGAGGGAAAAATTAAGTACAGCTACACAAAAGGTATACTTCTTCAAAAGATATAAAGAGTAAGTAAAGCCTTATTCATTTCTATACTTTGAAAGGGGAAAATGGAATCATAATTCCCTGTAAAATCACTGTATCACTGGGGTGACAATGAATATGAACTGATAAGCCCCCTCAAATTAATTATTTCCTCAGAAAGCATTTCCCATGTTCCTCATATGTATTTTATTCTTTTGTGCCAGTAAAACTGATGTTTTTCAGTGATCAGTCTTTTTTCAGACTTTCAGACTTTTCTGACTTTCCATTGGGCCGGAAGGTAAGGATTGGGCACAGAGATCATCTTACCTTTCTTTCTCCCTTTCCCTTCCTGAGCACACTGAAACATAACCAGCATCACATAACATTGGGCTGGTTTGTGTTGTCTGAACTAAACTGGGAGCTCCAGGGATGTTTCAGGCTTCCCCAGATCTTTGCATAACTTTCTCTGTGGTCCTGCCTTGGTCTTCTCTTCTTCTGCCTGCACAGACACCATTTCCATGTGTCTTCCAGCACAGGCCAATAGCAGCTCTGAAGTCCTGAATATCCTTCTGCTTCCTTCACACTTGAAGGAAACAACAATTTTTCCACTTTTTTCTTTCCCTTGCCCCCATTCAAGAACAAAGTTGAGGCTCCAGGAGTTGCATTTCTGTGCAGGTGCCATGCCACAACCTGATCACCTGACCTAACACACAACAGATTGTACTGCGATTTTAGAACAGACACACGTAATGGTTATGCCATGGATTTTTTTGAGAAGTAGAATCTGGGAAGGAAAGACTTGGTGGTGTTATGCAAGCAAATATGGTGTGTGTCATCTGCCATTTTCACAGGCATGGGAGAGAAATGCATCCATCAGTTCCACACTCACATGGCTTTTGAAACACTGCTACACAATTTATACCAGCCAAAGGAGTTCTTTGTGGAAATTCTTGTGTGAATTTGATGATAACTCATTTTTTTCCTTCTAGATTTTATTTAGATTTACGTGAGGGTATTTGAAGGGGAAAAGAAGGCCAACTGCACTGTTATTTATAGTGATTAATAGGGCCATTTAGAAGTTGTTTGAAATTTAGATTGCACTGTTTATCATTTACAGTTGTGTGGGCTAAGGTAATGATTCCATTATTCTAATCTATGAGCAATATCTAGCATCTTACATTTTTTGTTCAGTTGATATTTCATTACAGAATTTGAGATATAAATCAGGAGCAAGATACATGCATGAAGTTTAAATAGAAATGAGACCTTTTAAAGTGACATACGGGTACAGATTAACTTCATTATAAGCAGCAAATGAAATAAATATATATCACAAGTAATGTGCCATCTGTTATGGTTGGAACACCTTTTAGTGCATTTCTTCTTACTGTGGCTTTTTATTGTAGAAAAGGAACCCAGTGTGACAAGATTTCAGTAATACTACCAGTTCCTTCTCAGTTCATTGGTTAAAAACTATTTTACCCATAATCGCTTCAACTATTTACTACAGCAGGAGCATTTTCAAAAAGTTCTTTTAAATCTGATATTGATTATGTGTGCTTTCTTTTCACTTAAATTGTAACAAAATATAAAAACTATTTAGGTGTGAGATTAAAGTGTAGAAATGGTGCTACGCTTAACTTTTTCACTGAAATAGTTGTATTGAATTTCAAATTTTATGCCTGCTGAAATCTATAGAGGCAACTTTTTCTTTTTGATCTTTTGCTGCCTTTGACAAATGTTTATATTACACTTCTGCATTTTTTTCAAAGGATACCTTTAAAATCAATAACTCTGAAATTCAGAATCTTTAGCAACACCTAATTTTTGGGAAGGCTATCGCTCACTTTGAGGGTCTCCTGATGCAGAGTCGTGGTGAAGTCATCCTGATCATGTCTAGCTGTCGTTTTGCTCATCCATAGATCTTAAAAAAGGATAGTCATCCACCTGTCTGCAAGCAGCAAGCTTACATACTTAAATTAGGACTCCTAGACTCCTATTTTCTCTTTATAGACAGCAGAAAGAGAGAGGCTTTTCCAAGGCTTGATTGAGAGTGCTTTGACTAGAGCAGGAGCCAAGATTAAATTAGGTTCCTAAAGTTAGGTGATGTGAATGACCTCAAAGTGCTTTACTGAAATGGAACAAATACCATTATCTTCCTTTTCAAGATGGGAAAAATAAAACTCAGAGATGAAGCGATTTGCCCAAGACCATCAGGAAGCCAGAAATTTAATCTCTGTTTCCTAAGGCTCAGTCTGGGGCTCCAGCCAAAAGGTGCAGGTATCTCTGGCCAGTATTCCTCAAGTGCTTTCCAATAAACAAATGATCAGACCCTGCAGGTGGCAGGGAGAGCTGTAGATACATGGGAAAGCTTTATCCAAGCTACACAGAACCATTCTGCAAACCCCCTGCATTGTCTGAAAAATGCCTCACTGTGCCTCTTTCCAACTGCCAGCCCCAAGGGATGCCTGTGGGAGGATCAACAGACTGGAAAGATCCAGCTCTGTGTTCATAATACGAGTACACCTGTTCTGCCCTTTCTTATCCTGTCATCAAGTTGTTTTAAGTTCACTGCCTCTGCAGTTGCAATTGTGTCCATTAAATAATAAGAAACTTAACCTGGCATAACACTGGGTCACAGATGGGGTAAAGTCTGTGTTCCCAGACTACATGGAGAAAGCTGAAATAGGAGCAAGGAGAGAGCAAAAATTCCACGTAGATTATCAATTGTTTGGAAAGGGAATAGGCATTTTTCTTTCCTTCTTTCCTTTCATTATCTTTTTAAATGCCATACATAAGAATTTTTCTAAAAGCAATCCTGATCTTGGGTGGATGGTTAAGGGTGGAGAAAGATAAAAAAGAGTGTTTGAAAAGAAAAAGAAGCCCCATGTGGCCATGAGAATTGGGCAGCCCTTCTGTAGAGCAAAGGAGTAACTTGAATGATATGAAAGGTGAGGATGAGAATTTTGGAGGAAGGGGAACAGACTGTGCATGCTCCAGAACCCAACCAGGGAAAAACAGCTGCAGTGGCTAAAGAGTGATGAGCAATGGAAGGAGAAGACAGGAGACTCTCAGAACTAAGGACAGGATGTCAATCAGTTCAACAGCTTACATAAATAAACCTTTTTGTTGCTGCAGGATGTAAGGTGGTCTGACTTTGGTTTTCCTGGAAGAAGTGGAAAAGAGAGCACACTGTGGATTGGTTCTGAAGGAGCAAACACCCCCTGCCATTTGGACTCCTACGGCTGCAACTTAGTGTTGCAAGTACAAGGAAGGTAACAAGTGCACATACCTACAGTAAACACAGGGGAGAGCTATACTGTGCATAAAGTTAGTTTTGGACTGTTTTTAGTATTATTTCTAGGTCCTGATTATTTCAGTTTTCTGAGTTCTCAATGATTGAAGAGCATCATAACTGTTCTACAGGAAATGGCAGAACTTCAGGGCATTCTGGAGTTGACACAATTTTATTTTCTAGTCTGTGTGTAATATGGTCCAATTATAAACACTTGCATTTGCCTAGTAGTTATGAATTCAGGAATTTGGAATTAGGAGATAAAAGAGTTAAAAATAAAAAACCCCAAACAAAATAGAAATAAACTACTTTAGACTTTTACAATATTGTCTGTGCAAGAGCCTCTAATAGCCTGCTAGAGTTAATTTAAAAGGGGACCATCAGGATGGGAGCAGCCAGCTGTGAGCAAAGTTGAAAGGGACATTTGAGGCTCCAGACTCATTTGGGAGCATGTAGCTGTTGCTGTATCTTTCTGCCTGTTTGCATGCTGTCTTTGTGTTTTTTTTCGCATTCTTTTTTTTTCCCCTTTCCCTAAAAAATGGCCTCAAGGGTGGGGGGGGTTTTTTTTGGTTTTGGGTTGTTATCTATTATTGCTAGAGTAGTCCTAGAGTAACAGAACAAGTTGAAAACAATTTCTATGTTTGATAGTATAGAGTGGAAGGAGAAATTTGCTAGGGGTTTTTCAATGGGAATAATTACTCTGCCATTTTATAGAACAGTAAGACTGTGGTGGTGGTGGTGGTGGTGGTGGTGGTGGTGGTGTGATTAAGGTGCAGGATTGGAAGTCAAGTGTGTTGCCTTTTAGCTGGGCAGCATCACATACTGACTGGCTTTAAGGACTGGGGTAAATGAATTTGTCATCATCTTATCCCTAAGAAGGGTAACTCTGCGTAGGATTTTCATTCATGTTTGCAAACAGCCTTGAGGTCCTTGGGTGGATGTGCAGCAGAGACATTCTAGAAGCCTCCCTCAGCACTGCTGTGCTGCAGCCAATCCTGTAGACTTCAGATCACTTGTGCATTGAAGTCCAGACACTTTAGTGTATTCAGGAGCCAGAAATCTCAATGAAAACCATGAGACTTAAATGCCATAATCTTCTAAGGATCCACTTAAATACTGGGTGTACTAAATTAGTACAGTGATGTAGCAGACACAATACCTGCCAAGCCTCTTTGATCTGTACCTTCAGATGTTGAACTCAAGCCAGAGTTCCAGCATCATGCAGCAATTCTGTCCACCTTCCCAAGGCACTTCCTCCCCCTCAAGTAGACCAAAATCCTTTTTCCTCTCAGGGAAAGAAATCTAAAGCCCTTACACAGCCTGAAAAGACAAAGTTGTTTTCTCTTCAGAACAAAGCCTGTAAATAGATTGCAAACTTCCACAAGCTTGTGAATCCTGTGCTTCTTCAGAGCAGAAAGATTCCCTTTTGAGACTCGCAGACAAGACAGGCTTTGTACCAGAATGTAAGCTTACGCTAAACTTAAATAGATTTGCCTTTGCAGGGAAGCCAGGGACAGCTCCTTAGCCCTTTGTTGCTATCTTGAATTTCCTCCTTGCATCCCTTAGGCTTCTTAATTTTTTGCTTTATGATATTGCTTTGCCGTGAGCCTGCAGGATTAACCCTGAGCCTCCTAACCTAGTCATTCTCTGCCCCTCAGAGGATCTAGCTTGGAGGGCAAAATAAAGTTGCAATAAGGCTTGAGTTTCAGGAGAAGTGGTTTTATGCTTGCATCCAGCAGTTGCTTTGGTAATTACCAAGAAATATCAGCAGCCTATGGCACTTGCATCTGTGCTGGTCTCTGTAGTTCTGACTACCTCTTCTGTTCCTGTCTCTTTTGGTTTCGTGCCATTTGGTTGCTTTGCGCCCATTTTCAGATCTGTGACTTAGAACTGACAACCAGAAGCAGTAGACAAAATTCAAGAAGTGAGCCAAGGGAAAGGAAACAAAGAAAAGCCCTTTGTAGAGTCCAAAACAAAAGAGAAGAGCTACACAAGGGCTCCAGCTGTGCTGTAAAGTGCTGTCTTTACTTTTCCATTGCTTAGTGTATTGGTCATGTTGCACTGTTTGTCTAGCACCTCTTAAATGTAATAAATTCTCTTTGTGTATTCCTTCTGGTTATTTCTATCACCTAAAGTACTGCCATTTAAAACTTCTATTTTTAAATACCATATGTACCTGCTAAGATATTTAATTTATGATGCCCATAAAACTGGCACCACCAGTTCTGGCATATTCTTTTTTTTCTCTTTGATCTGGTCTATGTAAGTGAAATAGAGACATTAGCTCCTGAGGACAAAGTGTGGTCCCAGCTCTGCTTGGCCTTTGCACTGTGGTGCCTTCCTGTGCTTCTTTGGGCATGTAGGAGCAACGTGGCACATGAGTGCTCTCATGAGCTGAACAACCCCGTCCTGCTCCACCTGGCATTTAGTCACACCAGTAAGTTCTTAAATGCACAACCAGCCACATTTTCCTCATGTGAGACTGATAACACAAAAAAATACAGGTGTTTAAGGATACTTATGTCTATGGATGTATCTGGTTTTTATTCATTCCATCTTTGACATAGAAACATCAAGGTGATTTTTAAGAATGAGGGGGTTCATGACTAACAGCCATATAAGGAAACAGAAGATAATGTCTACACCCTTTTACTGTTGCCATCTTAAACACACAATGCCCTCCTTTCAAAACAAATACAGATTTTGAAAGCTTTTCATTCAGTGAACAAAAATACATTGTCTGTAACAAAACTATTTCTTCTAGTTTATAGAGCAATTTTTCATGCTCTGAGCATCTGTAAATGCTGCATGTAAAAAAGAGGAAGAAGAAACAAGACGGGAGAGGTTTTTTAAATTTTATCTGCCTTTAAAAATGATTGGTGAGAAGCTGTAAATCTTCTCAGTTAAAAAATTAAAAAGTAGAATATTTTAAAAACACTTTCAGGAGACAGCCTGTAAGCACTGGCTGTGTTCTCACTGCGTAGGAGATTCACACAGCGAGGCAGATTTATGTTTTATTGAAAACCTTGCTACTGCCTTTAATTCTTTGCTGCAAGTGACACGCACTGAATACATTTTTGTCTTCTCTCTATTTTCAGGAAGAGATGGCACCTCTTCCCACCTGGTGACACCAGTTTCCTTTATCCTACCAGGATCCCTTATGAGGAATCCAGCATATTCAGCAAAGTCAACATTGCCAACCCTGATCTGAAACGCTTTCCCGAGTTCAGGAACTCAACAGCCCATGTTGTTACCCTCAGTCCAGGACAGGTACCACTTACATACAAGCTTCACATTACTTAATATGCTATTTAACTGCCTAATTAAGGGCTAGGAAACCTTAACAAATTGACTGTGGAACTTCCTTCTTCCTCCACTCCACATTCAGACCTTACAGATTTCTCTCAGCATAGAAACTTTCTTCGCTGACAGTTGTTTGCTTCGAGTTTTTAGTACAAAAGCTGCAGACATTTGGAGAGCTATCAATCAGCTGTCTGATTCATAGATCAGAGTTCAATCAGCTGCCTGATTCCATACAACCACCTGTCTTGCAGCCACCTCAAATTTGTCTGCTTCAGAACTTTCTTGAACTCTGACCTGTCTACTACTCATGACGGCAGTATGTTCCATAAAATGCATTTGGTTAATGAGTATATAGAGGTAGCAAAGGAACTCATATTTTGGTAGTGAATAGCCTTCACCTGTTGCTTTAATAAATACTTTAATGATGATACTTGCTTTTAGAGTGCACACCATTCACAGGTTTCATGGTGCTTTCCAGGGCTGTGAGGGTGTTTTTAATCCTGCTTTACTGAGAAGGTTCAGCTGTAAGTGCCTGGCCTACAGTCACACAGGCAGGCAGCAGCAGTGTGAGAGTAGGGCTCAGGACTCTTGATTCCCAGTCTCCTGCTGTAAATAGTGTCCTTCTTTATTTAATCAGCAAGGTCTGTATTTGGAGTCTGAATTACCCTTTTTCATTTGTTCAGCCGTGCATGTCCTGCTAAGGCACTGCTGTGCATCTCAAACTGTCAGGCCCTTCCAAAGGAATTTTGCAATGGTCATTGCTCAGACAGTGGAGTTGCTGCTGCTGGAACCCTTTTGCCATTCTCCTACCAGATATTGTCACCTCTTTTGACCTGCCAGCTCAACAACTTCTATGAGCATTCCCCTGTCCCTAACTGGCAAACCCAGCTGTCTTCAACAATTTAAAGAATGGATTTTTGCTAATTAAGTTAATTCTAAGGAGGCAGAGTGGGGCAGGATAGTAGCTTCCAACAAAAGGATGATACCCTTCAACTGGAAGTGTATGCTCTGCAGTTGGTACAGATGCAAATGGGGAATCTATGATCAGCCTTTACTGTTTGCACTACATCAGCTCATACTCATACTCCTAAAGTAAATCATTAGTTTCACATTCAGCACTTTGTAAGGTTGCAGCAGTCAGTAATTTAAAGCACAAAGAACAAATTTTTACTATTGATAAAAATGCCACATCCATTCAGCACTGCGTTATCCCTGATCCCCAATACTATTTGAATTTATAATCTCCTTTGCAATGATCAAGTGCACTAGTGAACCTTTAATATGGTCTTAATTTTAATTAGGCTTAAAGCAATTACGAATTAATCTTGCTAGGAATAAAGATCTTGAGCCAGCTCAGTAATAGAATTTGTCTGCATTGCCATGAACAAAATACTGTTTGGATTTCCTGGGGGGGAAAGTGATGTAGCAGCAATGATGGAGCAGTGAGGTATTGCCTTTGTCCATTTCATCCGTGCTTTTTGTGTGGTGCTTGCCAGCATCTCATCCAGGAGCTTTCAGGGCAGATGGTTGGGAGCTGCAGCCATTTGATGGAAAGGAATGACCTAGAAGAACTCCTTTTTTAACAAGGGAGAGAATTCCTAAATAATGTCTTGATATGTGTTTAACAGTGGTTTTCACATAGAATTAGCCCAATTACTGGAGAATTTGTAGGCATCTTTATTTTGTGATAAAATGTAGCATCTCGACTCCTTCCCAGAGGGTATGCAGAACATTTTGGATTATTGTAACAATAAAAGGCTGAAAAAACGAAGACAAAGGTGTTCTTAGGTATTCAGGAGAGCAGCTGCATGTAGAGTGAGTGCAGCTTTGAATATCAAAAACTTAATGTGTCTAATGCCACCTTCTGGTCAATGTTTGCCACCAGCCATTTTTCTGCCTGAAAGCAGAATTCCTTCATGTAACATTGTGTCAATGCACAGAGTGTACAGTCAGTTAGATCCTTTGTGCCCTTGCACTGTATTATTCAAAGCTGGACCTCTATTATGAATTTTGGTAGCTGATTGAGAATTAAGGTTTTATAAGGTTTCATCCTGTACCTGACCACTGGCTGTCAGCTGCATTTCAACAGACATAACTTCTGGTTTTACATTAGTGATCTGTTCTGAAACAAATGATGGAAACATTTAGATGTCAAGCTTACTCAAACAGGCAGCTGAGTAGTGGAAGGGCTTGCAGCAGTACATGACTATATCCACTATATCCATGGAGTTACAAGCTCAAGCTGTGTTACAGAAATGTAGGGGGTCCTTATAAATGCTTGGACCTGGTCACCTCTGTGATGGTTGCAAAGCTGATGATTAAGTATGGAGCAGCATTTCTAGTAACGCCCTGATTTTTTTCTCAAATATACAAATGCTCCCTAAAAGACCAGAAATGGGACAAAACACATCTGTTCTTGTATCTTCTACCCATGCTCTGGGACAAGTATTAAGAGAGTTAGGGATCTGTCACCCTCAGCTTAAATCCCATTCAGGACAGGTGTCCTATATGCCATCAGTGGCACCTGGCACCTCAACAAAGTGGTTCATCCTTCCTGTCTTACATAATTACAATCCTGCAGGAACATTGATCCCACCTTGTCCTTCAGCACAGGCTGTAGAAGGAGCCTATGCACATAGATGCTTAACTTTTTTGATGATTAAAAATAGGAACGATGAATACCACCTGAAAAAGCTACAAAAACTGAGGTGCTGTACAAGGATAAAATCATTGATCATTCTTTCCTCTGCCCCACTTCTCACTGACTTCTGGCTTCCTTCCTGCTCACTAATGTAATTGCTCTTAATCCATCTCCCTGTTAATCCATATCCACATAACCAGACAATGGTAGGGAGACTACGAAGTGATCTGGGTTTATCTGAAGGGATGGAGAGCAAGCAGCTGCCCCTCTGTGCCCCTGTGAGCAATCCCATTCCCCCCTTGCTACCCCAGGCAGGTGCTGCTGAGGCAGAGCTTGCCTGCCCTGGGCCTGGCCCTGTGCCCCAGTGCAGCCTGAGGCCAGAGCAGCTGCAGAGCAGAAGTGCAGGGAAAGGCCTGACTGAGGTAGCCAAGAGGCACATTGGCTCTGAGAAGGGTGCCCTCCCTCTGGCCTTGAACAATATTGTCATTGGATGGAAAAAAACTATTTTAGAAAAAGATGAACATTACTGCTTGCTGGTTCTCACCATGGCCTGCTGCTCAGAAGCTTCCCTCCCCTGCTTCTGCAAAGTCTAAAAGAAACACATTGATGTGGCCACAAATACAGTTGTCACTCAGTTCCTGTGTTTAGCTGCAGGATTTCTCTTTCTGGGCTTCTGCTGCAGAATCTAACACACCATGGGATCCTGCTCAGCAGCAGAGCTCTCAGCAGTGCAGGCAAACCTCTGACCTCTAATCTAACCCTGAGCAAGAAGAAATCTTCATGAAGTCAGGGAGGGATTTCCCTGTGTGCTGCCTTTAAAGAAAGGGTGTGAGAACATCAGGTTGGGCTTTAAGTGAGGAACAGAAGAACACACAGCCTGGATAGCTAAGAAAAATATAATTGATACCAAAGAAAAGTGTTTTAATAAGTCAAGAAATGCAGTAATTCAAAGGTAGTGTAATGTTCCTGCTCAAAGTATACAAAAGACTTTTTAAAAGGGGTTACAGTAAAAAAACTACTTTTGTTGGAGAAGAATTTAAGTGATTTTATTAAAAGAGAATTCAGAGTCGGCCACACCATTATGCATAGTAGATGGCTGATAATTCTGTTCTGGGGAACGAATAAAGAGTTTTCACATGGGAGACTGCAGAGCTGGCCCAGGTCACCCCATAGAGAAGGCAGACAGCCCAACCCAACCTCAGGACACCACAACTATGATTTCCATCACAGAAGAAGCAGAAGAGTCCAGGAGCTGAATTTATGATAGGATTGGTGGTAAAAACACTGCTCAACCTGCAACCCCTATGGAGAACCCCTCAAAAATGAAAGGTCAAAGCTGCAATTCCCTGACTCTGCTTCTCCACCTCTTCCCTGAGCTTCCCTCATTCTCTCACCTAGGTCACTGTGGGCCATTCCTCCTCTTCACTGTGCCTTTCCCCATGGCTGTGCCTTTCCCTTGGCTGTGCCTTTCCCTTGGCTGTGCCCGTGTTTCTGACCCCAGTCACCCTTGGAGCTCCGTTTCAGTGCACAGGAAGAACCAGGAGGGAGGAGGAGCAGGCAGGGTGAGAAGCATCTTCCAAGCACCAGGACAGCCAGGCTCCAGCTGGGATGAGGCACAGGCTGGGGCAGCAGGGCTCACACAGTCCTCAGGTGGTGCTCCCACACAATTGGCTATGCCTGCACCTACTTCATTTTATGTTTCATTGCCATGGTTGCAAACACTTCTGGGATCTCCTTGGGTCCCCCCGTGGCTCAGTGTCTTTATCTTCCCTTGACACTGGCTTCCTTTTTGTGTGCATTTACCTAAATATCTTTTTCTAATGAGCAGAAATTTCTTGGTATAATATTTCACTTCAGGGTATGCTCTCTTTTTGAAGCAATTCCACCTCTGCCCTACCTTTGCACTGTATCAAGTTAATCATGTCCACTGAGAATTCAAACCTGCTCTGTTCTCTGTGCTGTACAAGTCTTCAGCATTGCTCCACTTGCTCTCCCAACTGTTCCTTTGGTTGCTTTCCTCCCATTACAGCATCTCATTTTATCTTTTCTGGGACTTCTGTCCTACTTTAACTTCATTTGCTATATTTGGCTGTCACTAGCCTAAATATTAAAATTATCTGATTGGTTACTGTTTAGATCAGTATCTTCCCAGCATGAATGAAGTTAGATAAGTTCTGTGGAAAGCAGGCTAGCACAAGATTATCTCTTAGCTTGGAGTAGTTCTGTCTTGCTGTTGCCCTTTACATTTTCTCCATAAAATGTTTGCTGCATTTGTGTGTGTTGCTTCACTGTGGCTTACTTTTATGTCTCCTATAGAAATGTAGCTAAATCTGTGTCCCATATTCATAAACATATGGAAGTCTGCTTTTTTAAATTGTGAAATTGATCGTTAGAGGCAGTGGTGGTGGGTTTTTTTTGTTTGTTTTCATTTGATTGTGCTTCTGTTTGCTTCTAATTTGAAAAACTAGAAGAATACTATTTTTTAAATGTAGAAGAAATCTATCTTTCTTTTCTGGGTTATTGGGGTTTTGGGTTTTTTTTTTTTTGTCTTATTAGTTCTGCTCTCTTGCCAGCTGTATTTTTTGGCTTTAATTACCTTTTTCCATTTCTTCATCTTTATTAAAGTTTTAGTCCTTTTGCTTTTTGATAATTTCAATTGTCTTGTTGCTATAAATCCTAATTTTAACAAGCATAAGCTTGTTCAGCAATGAAGGAGGGAGAGCAAATGTCTTTATGGACCCTCTTGCCTATTTGAGTCACAGCTCTGTAACTCTCCTAGAAACTGCATCAGCGAACAGTGCCAGCTGCAGAGACACAGCTTTGCAGTTATTACCCTTAACCTGCTGGCAAGGGAAACCTGATCAGTCTCTAAAGGACCAAGTTCCTCCTCTTTGGTTTGAAAACCCAGGACAAGTTGTGGGGATTGTATTTTCCTTCTGGCTGTACCTGCTCTCTCCGAAGCAATTCTGTCTCCATTTTGCATGTGAGTCATGTGGAGCCAGCACGTTCCATGTCTGATTTCCTTCTTGGTTTTCCAGGCAGCATCTCTTACTGAAACATTTATACATTTCCCTTAGTCTGTCTCTTGCTCGTGTTCCCTCACCACACGGTCCCTGTGCAGCACCTCCCCAGTGTCTGCTGCCCTCCTCCTGCTGGAGCTCGCTGTTCTGCGCAGGGCTCACAGGAAGGATCCCACTGGTGCCAGCAGCCACTCACAGGAGCTCTGCTCTCTTCTGCTGTAACACAAAGTTTGCCAGGGCTCACCATTCCACCCAGTCACTTGGAGGGCACCCAGAGTCTGTAGCAGAGTTCAGTGTAAGAACCCCTATAGAGCTGATGAGCATTTAGGGAGGGAGGGGATTTGTATGATTTTGCAGTGGAACTGGAAAACACTTCCTTACAGATAAACCCACTGCTGCTAATGCAACTGTGCTGTTCATTTAAAGTGGATGTTTCCTTGATAAAAACAAAACTCTGAAACTTGTTCAGCAGAGAAAACATGTTTTGGCTGCAGTCTGTAGGGTTTCATACACTTACATGTCACGACTAATTAGTGATATTTTAAAAATAATGACCCTCCACTGACTGACTTCCTTTTCTGTTCTGCGTGCTGTACTGGATTAAAGAATAATTTCCAAATGATTTTGACCTTTGGAGAGCCAGTGCTTTTTTTTGACCTAAATTTAAGCCTGTAGAGAACATTTTGTCATCTGGCCCAAAAAATAAGAGTGTTCCAAGTGTCCTGTAAGTGTTTGCAGGACTGGTGCCATTGTTTGCCCCACAGACATTTCCCCATTAGCCATGTTTTGATGTAATGAAGCACAGGGCTATCTGGGTAGCAGAACATCCTTCTAAGTAATTTGTGTCCACCAAGAGAAAGAACTGTCTGCAATTCAGATACAGATCATTGCTTCACTTTCCCCATTGTGTAGTATATATTTTTATCTGTCTCTGACCATTTTTATAACTTGTCAAAAAATATCTTCTATGCTTTCCTTGATAGCTCCATGTTACTCTAATGTTCAGTAATCTGCAAAGCTTGTCCTCTATCATCAAAACAACATCAGTGTCTTGTACCATAAAAACCATGGGTTGGAATCAATTTTCTGTCACAGCTATCATCCTGATATTGTTGTAAAGCTCTGATCTAAACTAGATTGTCCCAGAAATCATGACATTTTCTTTTAAAAGCCTGTCTACTAAAAGTGAAACATTTATTTAATACTGGTGATTATTTACCAGAATTAAAGCTGCATTTTGTCACCTAGTCATCTAGATGAGCAGAGGGATGCCTGCTTTTTGGGAAAACCAGCTGGCAGTCCTACAGGAACTGGGAAGGTTGCTCAGTTGGAGAGTCTACAAAAGAATTCCTGCTTCACTGACACTCTCTCTGAAGTCCTGATGTACTGCTGCACCAGCTGCACCCCCTCTGTACTACTGTATTTTGCTTACCCAGAGCAGTTAAAGGTTATAGTCCTGCTTGGGACTATATGGGAAGGAGTTTGGATGAAAGGTAGTTCTGGATCATGTCCATGTCTTACATGATAGTATTGATAGCGTGGGCATTTAAGTCTTGAGAAAAGGCTCTTTAAAAGAGAGAAATAAATATCACCTCTCACCTGTGTCCTTGCCTCAGTTCTGTCTCTACACCCCACATCACCTAAATTAAAAAACTGTGTCTTTCTTCAGGCTTCTGCTTGTTCCCTAATGCAATGTCTGCACTTCCAGGTCCTGTTTGTCCCAAGGCACTGGTGGCACTATGTGGAATCCATTGATCCTGTCACTGTCAGCATCAACTCTTGGATTGAACTGGTATTTTCCTTTTAATGTCCTGGGGATGTAGCACAAGGGATTTCTGTCCCTTGCCTGCCAGGTTCAGTCCTACTGGGTGTGTTGTGTTCAGAGGCTGGGGAGGGAAGAGCCCTTATGGATACATTTTTTCTGGAAGAACCTTTCAAGGTTCCAGATCTGAAGCCCCAGTTCAGCAGAAATCCCCTTTCAAGTTTACTTCAATCAGGTAAACAACAAAACACAAGCTAAATTTTCATGCCTAATTTCTTAAGGGCCAGCCAGCTTTGTGCTGAATAGAGAACAAAAAACCAGGAACTTCACCTCAAGGACAAGCTTATGTGCAAAGCTAAATTAGAATTTAAATCAGATTAATGTGAACAGGAAGGGAGGAGAAGAAGATTTTTGAATTTTCATTCCTCTGTGATAGTTTTGCTTTGGCTGAAGTTGGATTTCCTCATGTATTTAATTAATTTTCTTCTCCCTGGGCTTTGATTTTTCTTGCTCATGTTAACCAGTATATATGGGATGGTTCCAGGGATATTATAAAATCATAGAATAGTTTGGGTTGGAAGGGACCTTTAAAGGTTGTCTAGTCCAATCACTCTACAAGGAGCAGGGACATATTCCACTAGATCATCTCAATACTCCAGAAGGTTTTCTGATTGACATTACTTTATTATTAATCCTAGGTTAATATTAAAAAAAAAAAAAAAACCTTTTGAAATGGCCTCACTGAAATACTCACTGCCTTTTTTTCCCCTACTTCTAAAACCTATATTAGACTGGAAATCTGCAGGGGAAAGAACACATGCTTTCAGCTGCTGTTCCAAGACCAGAGGATGCATTTCTCATACCAACATCAAACCAAGCAGAACACAGGAACTCACTTGGGTATTTTCCTCATGGAGAAATTTTTGAGGTGAAACCTGTGTATTTAGCAGGGACAGCAGGCCCACAGCCCAGACCAGGCTCTCACACAGCCCTAAATGCAGGCAGGCTGTTTGCAGTGCCAGAGAAGGCACCAATTCTATTGTAGAGCAGCCACTTAAGCCTGCCTTGAATTTGAGCCTTTGAGGTAATTCAGAGGAGCTGGCTGTGTGCCCTGGGCTTGGGAGGGCCCTGATGCCAGCACACACTTGTCCCTAAGCTGGGCCTCACAAGTTGTCCCCCTCTGGAGGAGCAGGCTGTGGTGGGATCAGCTTGGCTGGTAGCTCCCAGGTGCTGGGGTGGGGCCTGAGCATTTCCAGCTGTTCTTATGTGTTGCAAGGGGAAAAAGAAAAGTGGAGCTAAACTCTACATCCTGTTCTGTCATAAAGGTCTTGCAGAAGTCACCAAGATCCTGTTTGGTGCCAGCAGGAGTCAGTGGCTGTGTGGTGTCATAAGCAGAGGAGTCTTTGCTGGATCTAGCTGATAAATGACACACACCCTCCCCAGATATCAGTATCTGCCATGAGCAAATGTGGCTATTGCAGCCCAGGTGAAAGGTCCTTACAGAAATCACCCCTGCAGCTGATGATGCAGCATTGTTTGTGAGGTGTTGGGCACTCCATTTATAAAATAAATTCTGACATGGATACTAAAAGACAATTCTGAGAACATTTGCATTATCAAACCAAGCAGTTCTTGCTCGCAGCTGTTACCAGCTGCTTTCATATTGACAGATGTGAATCACACCAACAATTACAGTCCCAGTGAAACCATTAATTATATTGGCGAGAGTCTAGAGTAGAAATTTAATTTGTTTTCAGCTGGATGTGAGCTACCCAAAAGTATTCCTTGCTTTCTAACATACTGTCATGCAATCAGTACAGCCCTGTTGTTCTGCAGGCTAGGATGAATACCAAGAATGCAACACCTTAAATAGTTTCCACATGTCAATACCAAACTCTGTACTTTGGTGGTTTTTTATACAAGGCCATTAAAAAGCCTAGCATCCAAACCCAGAAAATGCCAAGAGCACTTCCCCCTGCTTCTATCCCAAATTCTGCTTAGGGTTCCAGGAAAAATTGCTGCTTTCAGCCCTCATACTAGCCAGATGTGTGGTTTGCTTGACAGGTTCCCTGGAGCCACAGTTAGACTGGTCAGGGCTGTGGGTTGACCATGTTGGATCTTCCCTCCAAAACTAATACATCTAAGCATCTCAATTAAATCAAATATATGCATCCACTTCTAGGTACTTGTCATTGAGATAACAAAACCACCATCCTGTTTGAAGAGTCTACCATTCCTTCCACATAAAAGAAACTCAAATGGGAAAGAAAGCCAAAATCCTATAAAGTTTTTTTCTGCTATCCTAACCTAGCAAGCATCCAGCTGTCCAAGGGGGATCATGAAGGAAGGCCTGAAATAAAGAGCCTATATTAAGTTAGTAAGTCAATTTTCAGTTTTGCAGGAGAGTTTTCAGCGCAAACATGCTTTTCCTTCTGGTGATGTTCAAAAGTGCAGCAGTTTTTCAGCTGCTGTTACATGATAAAATGTTTCCTAAATTTCCTTAAGATTCACTTTTGTGCTTGTGTAGTCCTTAGATAGCTGCTGCCTTGCTATAACATCTTGTGTGTTTTAATTGCTTAAATTAGACATAATATGTAGATATAAAAATGTGCTATGTACTTCTATGGCTCTTCTAGTCCTAAAGAGCTGTTTAAATGCACACATTAATTAAATGCTAATATTGCATTATAATTTCAAGCATCAGATTCAATTAACAAAACACTAATAAGGGAAAAGATTATATACACATACTATTTTTTGCAAATCCTTATTCAGATGAGCAGTCACACCAAAGTCTGTGCTGTCACCTGTTTGGGGGCTTTGCACAGGAAGAGAGTCTGAAACCTTCCATTGACTTCACATGCATGAGTGTGGCTTTCAAACTAAGGCCATCTATGTTTTTCCTAAGATCTTTCAGCTTTCTGCAGAGAGCCATGAGCTAATCTATCCCCTAAAACCTTCTGTTCTCTTGAGGCAGGATGCAGATCATGAAGCCCGTGTAGAGGAGGCAATAACTCGAATGCTGGTATGCGCCATAAAATCAGCAGAAAATCCCAGTGATGGAGATCTCTGGCTAAATCCCACAGAGGTAAGCCCTCTACTGCTCTCATTATAGCAGCAATAACAAAGAATTACTGACATTTTGCTTAGCTCCCCCTGAGTCTTTTTGCTGCTTTGAGAAAGAGAGTTTGAAGTTCCATCCCCCTTCATGTAGCAAAAGTAATTCATGGAAGATAATCACGCAAGGCTGAATTGAAACATGTCTCCTTTTAACTGAGTGTATTCTGGGTGTTTTCTTAGGTTGAGGCAACCTCCCATGAAATCAATCTTCAGTACCTGAATAAAGCAGTGTCTGCATACCTCAAGTGTCAGGAGACAAGTGTGTCAGGACAGGCACATTCCAGCAGCAGTGGTGCAAAGCAGAGGACAAACACCTCATGCAAGAGGAAGAGAAGGGAAGCTGGCTGTGAACCAGAGAGCTGCACATTACTAACCCAGAAATGTGACTTTCCTGCACCCAAAGCAGAAGAGCTGCGGAAAATACCTTTTGGGCCTCATCTTATTCAGGTTTTACCACAGTCTCACAAAACCAGCGTGGTGGGTGCAGTTGCAGTTGAAAGTGATGGTAGAGATCTTCTCCATGAAAATGAAGGAGAACATTTTGGAAAATTACAGTGCAAGAGGAAGAGATTGCTAATGAGTAATGACTGTGAGGCAGCTGCACATCAAATGGATTCAGACTGCAGTCCATGCACCTCACAAACAGCCCTTTCCACCAATGACTTGTTAGACTGTCTGGTTAATCCTCGTGTCATCAGTTTAGTGGCTCAGCTGCTGTTGGAGAGAATGAGAGTGTGATGCTGGAGTGCTTTATCATTGCTGAAACAGAAATCAAACAGCAGCCTTGTTCTGCAGGTTTAAAATCTGTAATAATTGAATGTTCCATTTCAAGTAATTTTTAGGTACAGATAGACACAGTTAATGGTTAAGTGCAGGTTGAAGTTGAGCTGAAAGAAGAATAGCTGGTTAGTGATGGCTGTGAAGAGAAAGGTGTGTTTAGTCAGGGAGCTGCTCAATGTTATGAACAAGAGAGAGCACACACAGTCACACTCCCACCGTGCTGTGCAGGTGGGATCTTCACAGTGCTCTACAGCTCCGAGCTGGAAAACAAATATGGCTTGATGATGGATAGCAGAGGGAGTGCTGGGACATGGTCACAGCAAAGGGGGGCCAGGGATGGGAGCAGAGAGATCGACTGACTGTAGACTGGAGTCCTTGACCACATTTAAAGTAATAATAAGCAATAAGCAATCAGTTGATTACATTAAAAGTAATAAATTCAGGTAAACCTAAACCTCAGCCAAGAGAGAATGCACTCCCTAATGCATCTACTTCCTCCCTTCTACTAAATAACTTCAGTTTTGTCACAGAGCTCTGGGTTGGAGTGAGACAAAAGCCCTTAGCAAGAAAGTAGCCTTTAGCTACTTGAAGGTAGGAGAGTAAGAGCATTGGGAAGTTCCTGCTATTATTTATTTAAAGACAGGTGTGCACAGTCCCCTAAGAAACAAAGCAAAACAGCTGTGACTTTTTACCTCTGTCCTTCTCCTTACCATAACAATAAAAATGTATTAATTTTTTTCTTTTGGTTGTAAATGGTTGCCGTACAAGATCATCCTTTCTTCAAAGGATAGTAATCCTTGGATTTGGTTTTAAAAGCTGGGTTGTTCTCTGATTGAAATTTAGGGAACATGAAATATTGGCAAGATGTTTGTTAACTCTGAATCTATGCATGGAGGCTTGAACAGAACCTGGGAAGAAAGCTGCTGGCACCTTCCAGGATGCTCTCACCTCCTCTGATTTCTGTTTGTGGTGGCACCAGAGGCATTTTCCCTAACTGCAGTTTCCAGAGACAGCTTCAGGGACAGCTCCTGTGAAACCTTTGCTTTTAAAATATCTCTTTGCTTGTGTCTGCTAGAGACCAAGAAGCCAGTTTCTATCATCAGCCTGTTCCCATAGCCTTAACCTTCCACCACCAACCCTCCAGCTGGTATTTCCTTTGCTTGATGTGTGCTCCCTGCTAAATACATGAAGCTAGTGCTGTTTTCACAAAGATCACCTTCCACTAATTTATAGTTGAAAAATCCTGATTGCAAAGGTGCTTTCTCTCTGCTTTTATTCAGATTGCATTGTTGGCAGGGTCCTGATGAATTATGGTAAGGGCTTCAGATATGCACCAGTAGATCAGAAATTCAGGGAACCTTGCCATTTCAAAAATCTCCCCAAAAACCTAATACACTTGGAAGAGGAATAAGTTGAAAAAGCTCAAAGGTTCATGTTTAACAAGCACAGAAACCTTACCCTGATGGAAACAGAGCTGTGTGTGTAGTTTGCTGGAGACCCTGGCTTTGAAGCGTGGCTGTGAGTTAGCAGCAGAGGCCACACGAGCTCCATCTCTGACCAACAATGGGCAGTTCCCAGTCCTGCTCTGCCCTGGTAATTGGGCTCAGACCCTGGTAACACCTCAGCAATGAGAGAAAATCCACTGTTCTCGTTTCATGTTTCTACACCAAAGGGTCTGCAGGGTTGCACCCCTGCAACCAGACCAGAATTTAATAAACAATCCTGTTGATACAGTTCCTGTTTGTGTGGTGGCACTGCTGTGACAAAGGGATTCGGTCAGGAATCACTTAGGAGACATCTTGGTCACCTCTGCTGCCTTTAGTGATTCACCAGGCTCATAGGGAGCAGTCTGTGGAACAGGGCAGACCCATTTTGAGGCACAGGCACATCTCAGCAGAGCTGGGTTTAGCAAGACCCTGCTCATGTCCTACTGCTGGATTTGCCTTTCCCAGGCTGACCAGAGGGGCTGGGACCAGCTAGAGAGCTCTGCTGCTGGGAGCAGTTGCACTGGGAAGGAAGGGTTACAAATGACTCATTTTAATTCACTGAGCAAAAATAGTCTTGCAATAAAAAATCTTTTATGTCTAGAACAGATAGAGGAGGGGGAGGAGAAGCACAGGCAGTAAAGTGGAGGAGGATGGCAGCATCATCTTCCAGTCCCCACAGTGTGAACTTTCTTAGCTTAAGCTTGCCTCCCAACACACAGATCATCTTAACACACCCCACGAAATCCACACTGAACATTTCATCCCTCTGTATTCCAAATGACTGTCCTTGGAAAAGCTCACTGAACTTGTCAGGGGTCTCTGCAGGACTTGCCCTGACCACATTCCATGCCTGTGCCAGAGGAGCCATTTCAGGCTCAGTGTAGGAGCAGCGGCATTCTCCCAAGGCTGAGCTGTGTTCAGTCACATCCCTCACCACTCCAATCACACCCTCTCTGTCTGGGGACAGTCACAGTTTATGCCTGTCCAGGTGCAGGCCATGATTTAAGGGCCAGGATGTGGCCAGAAGCCATTAAGCCAAGGGGACAGGGAGAAGAGCGAGTGAGGCTGTTTAGGATGCAAGGCAAAAGCACCAGAAGGACTTTGTGTCTCAGAGGTGCAATATAAAATCTCAGCCATACACTCTGCACACGGGGGCAGAGAGAGAAATGACCACAAATTCAGCAAGTCACGTATGGCAAATGGCTTGCGCACCAGCAAGAGAAATTTATGGCTCTGACCCGATTCGCAGCGTGCCGAGCGCCACCATTCCTGACGCCGCTTCTAAATTCATGGCTGCTGCGTGCAGAGGCTCAGACAAGTTTCTACATATTCATAGCGTTAAAAATAAATGATTCCTGATCTCTCTGGTGACAGCCTGTCTCCAAGAAGAGCAGGAACCCAGTGCTAGCCCTCTGCAACTGCTGATAGAAACCTTCTCCCCAAGAAGGAGCATTTCCCACTCACATTGAGCAATCGGCACAGCAGCAGTTGAGATCATAGCCCAGAGCCATCGCTGGGGTGGTCACAGTGGTGACATCGTGTCATCTCTGCTGTAGCTGAGTGACAGTAAGAGATGGATATTGCAGGGTCTAGTTTTGAAGTTAAAGCTTTGCTCCAGCCCAGGGCCAGTCCCAGCAGTGGGATGGACCAGCACATTCATCTCCCCACACACATCCAGGCTGCTCTTGGCCGGTGGAGACGCTCTGTGTTCCCTGCCCCAGTCCCAGGTTTGCAGAGTGACTCATGGGCCAGCCGGGGTTCTCTCTCCTGGACTCACTGGCATTGCCACTCACTGGCCCTGAGCACCACCCTCATTGAAAGGAATCTGCAGAAACCACCAGAAACCACACCCAGGTCTGACAGCCTCAGCTCTCAAGTGAGCAGGAAGGGAAAAGCCCAAATAACCACCTCTTCCAGAGTTTCAGTCTTCTCTGGAAAACCTCCTCACTAAATTTCTGTGGGTACCACTGGGTTTCACAGTGCTACTGCCCCCATGTGCCTCTCCCAGAACTTCTGCTGTGGCTCAGTTTTCTTGATACCACAAAGCAGCTCAACTGCAGAGCTGTGACATATGTTATCATATAACATTAACCATAGATTAAGCTTTTAACTAACAAACATGGCATACTGAAGAGGCAGAGAGAATCCTTCCACAGTGCTAATTGCCCTTTAAAATAAAAGTAGTGCTACAATTCAGTCTGTTTGCCACCTAGTAAGCTCCTTGCTGTGTTTCTCAGCTGCAAATGTGAACTGTTTTGGTGTTTGGCATGAGCAGGCTTCCACTCATGGGAGTTTCCTCCATGGGACATTTCCAGTATGGCTGATGGGGAAAGACCTCGGCAAACAAGTGGCCCCATTTTACCATCTGGTTCATCCAGATGGGGAAGGAAAAGGATCCTAGATCTCCTGTACCATATTCTGTCCTCCAGACAGAGAGCTCTGACCCACAGCAAGGTGGGGACACACTTTGCCACACTGGCTGAAGGGGCGGTGGGATGATGGCATCTGTGATTAAAGAGCCACACATTTCAGGGCTGTGTTTTTGGAGACATCCCAAGTGGATGCTCCCACTAAACATTAATTTCTCCATCTAATTAGTGGGGTTTGTCCACCTTAGTGGGATGACTAGGAGCTGGAAGTTCTGGTCACCTTGGAACAGCCAGTTTGGGAGGACCCCAGTCCCCATGGCTCTAGGGGGGACTGTAGGGCAGTGGGGACAGAGGTGGCAAATGCTGTGCAACTTTGTGAGTCTCCCAGAGGCTCAGAGAACACAAGCAGAAGCCCTGGAGCTCTCTGACCTCCCAGTGCCCCTGTGCTGAGGGACCTGGGGAGCCCTGGAGCTGGTGAAAGTGTCTCACAAACCAGAAGTGTTTCTTTGCACCGAAATCTCACATGCATCACAACTCTCCTGGTCCTTGCATTTATTTACAGGGCAGTGTCATGGAAAAGACACAGCCAGCTCCCTGCTCAATACCTGTAATAGATTCTTCGTGAAACCTAGCTCTGGGTTTTGAGAGCACAGATTTTGCTGCTTCCAAAGCTGTGGTGGTATTCTCCCAGCAATGAGTTCTCATTCCTTGTGATGATCTATGAAAACCACTTTGTGAAGGTCTGAATCTGGTACTTTCAGCACTGAAGGACTTTTAAATCCAATTTCACAGCAAAAAAGGTGGCTCCACACCTTTCCAGATCAGAAAGGTTGATTGTAAAACAGGTTTTTATCTCCCTGGTAGATATTTGAATCATGTAGAGTCACTCGCTGTCGCATCACTTCATCAGGGAGGATATATGAGCTTCAAGGGCATCTAAAGAGTTAAAATTGTTCCTGAATTCCTCTCTCACCCCTGCCATGTCCCCTCCTCCTGCTCCCCAGAGCCTGGGCTATGCCCATTGAAAGCATCAGGCAGTAAAACCCGTCCCTTCAGAGCAGTGCCAGGCTTGTCCCATGCCCTGGTGGGACACATGAATCCAGCCCAATTAGCAGCAGCCCTAACAAAGCTGGCTGAAAAACCACTATTATAATGAAAGATGGTGCTGTGTAAAAAGAAAGCAGAGCAAGTGAGGCTGTAACACAACTTATTGCTGTCCCCAGAGGAGCCTCGTGACTTACGAGGAACTCGGTGCCTCGCCTGCGTTTCAGCCCCCACGTCCCCAGGGATGTAATGTATTACCTCTGCATTTGCTGGCAGCTTTGGGGGTCTATCCAAAGGGATTAGGATCCCTGCCCTGGTTAAGAATGGAGCCTTCTGCCACCCTGGGATAGCTCACTGCAATGTAGTTTGTTCCTTGTGTGCTGCTGCTCCGTGGAAGCTGCAGCATTGCAAAGATCAATGCCCCAGAGCGCAGGTAGCTCAGCCCTGCTCTGGCCATGACTGGCGTCTCTCCACGGGCAGCAGCCCCATCTCCCACCCAGGCTGGGGCCCTGAGGACAGCCTTGCCTGGGTGAGCCTCCTCTCTGCCCTGCTGGGGACTGGATGGGATCAAAGGTCTCCAAATCACCAACTCCAAGCACGTGAATAGACCTGACTGCCCCCAGGTTACATCCATGAGGAGGAGCTTTGTGGGCAGATAAAGGCCAGAGCAAGGCCAGCACAACACATCAACAGAAGCATTCTCAGCCCCATGACTGCTCTCCTGTCTGTCAACAATGTTATTACCATTATTTACTCAGAAAGATGTTCAGAGCTCTATCAGAAGAAGCACTAGAACAGGAATCAGTGGAAGACAAGCCTCTCCTGGCTGGAGCAGGAGAGCAAGGATGAGATGGCCATGCAGGTTTTTTCCATCCCTTCCTCTTCAGAGAGTCAATTAGCAAGGCATGGTAACAGTATTTGTGCAGTCCCTGCTTGTGCTGATTACAATAAATTTTGTCCTGCATGTTAAAGTCAGAAACATCTCCCATCTGCCAAGCAGCAATCAGGACCAATTAATGAAGATGTAATTTCCCCAGATGCTGCTATTAACATAATTCACCGTGTTCCTAGCAACATGAATATAATTAACCCAGTTAACCACAACTCTCATCATGTCACACCAGGCTGCCCTTGCCCTCAGAGGAGCCTCCCTGCCGTGTCCCCAGCCACATCCACACGGCTGAGGGGCAGAGCCACTCCCCATCCTCTCTCCTTGGGGATGGGTTTGGGAGCCATGGACGTGGCCCCCAGCCCAGCAGTGCCAGAGACTCTTCTCAGGGGCAGGAGAGCACAACAACCCTGACACCCCACATGGTTTCCAGGCCTCAGCTGCACCTCCAAAGGGATGGGGGACACTGCAGCAGACCTGCCCCAGCCCTGGGAATGGCACACACCTATGGGGGTCAAACACATGGCACAATTCAGCCAGTCCCTTCATGCAGGGTGCTCTCCAGCCCTTCTTCCCAGGCTGATTCCAGGGTAATGATGTGGCTCACACACAGCTCTGCCCTCAGCACCACCCAGAGCACAACAACTCACTGTGGGGAGCAGCAGGTCCAGCTGGAGTCAGGGGGGATCCTCACCCATGGGGGCAGCCTGCAGGGCTGGGACCAGCATCCATGGACACCTCCACACACAGAGACATGAACAAGATCCAGGGTCCACCACAGTCCAGCAGATGGGAGCAAAGAGATTCTTGGCTGGAGAAATGGGATGATGTAAGGCAAGGCCCTTGTGAAGAAAGGCTGGAGCCAGGACTGGTGGCTGGGGTGAGCTGCAAGAGGCTCCAGTGCCCTGTGCAGGTGTGTGTGTGTCCTTCTGTGTGTCCCAGCTGAG